GCATAATGCTTTAGAGTGTTCAAAGCACTCCATATACATTAGTTTTACTCATAAGTTAACAGAAACCTGAAAAGATAACACCTCTTAGTCATGACTTGTTATAATGCACCAGATTACTCCGACTCACAATTCTTCAATTTCTCTTTAGATACATCAATGTAAATAGGGAAGGTAAGCACCCGTGTTATCTTTACCATGCAAATAAAAAGGGTCAGATTATAGATTCTTATAAAAACAATACTGATGGGTCAAATCAGTGGTCTATCATTCATTCACCAGTTGTGGACAGAACCACCTGCTCGAAAGAAAGAGGTTAAAAACACAAGACCTTCAAGTACTTCCTTCACTATTTGCTTCCATCTTTATGAAATGTAAGGGTATCCTGAGTATGCATTGCCCCCACTACCATACCAAATATCTTGTACATTTTTTCAAAAAATTCTAACAGTAACAGTGGCCATCTCCACAGTTTGTGACAAAGTATTTTGGAGGTCAGGTTTGTGCCATGTAAAACAGTATGTTTTCATTTATCACATGAAGCAACACACCAACAACAAATCTATAATCAGTTTTATTAAGAATTTCATAATTTTATATGCCACTGTTTCAGATTCCATCTGCAGTCCTTAGCCCCCACGTTTTATGATTAAATACCAATCCTTTATGCCCTCCTTTTATCCCAGTTTATAATTTTGTTTGCCCTGTTGACGTCAAAGTGAACAAAACCTGCACACATGGGTGCACAACTCTCTGTACTTGAAATACATACTTTTAAATCCACCTTAGCCTCACTATATGAGAAAAATGCAGTCTATGAATACATTAACATACATAAGCACAGAATAAAAGCATCTTCTTGAGATTGTGCCTTGAGCAGGCTGGAGCTTGCAGCCCACAGCTTACCCTCCACTGGCAGTGTGTCAGCTACAACAGTATTACACTCCTTCTTCAAAATCTTCTTTTCTTCCACAAGTGGAATAGAACTTGGGGTTTCTTGGCTGATCTTTCCATCACAAAATTCCAGGTCCAAGTCTGGCATGGCTTCCACTACCACCATTGCTACTGGACAGAGCAAGCTGCATCTACCATCTGCTACGACTGCCCCCAAGGCTTTCAAAATGGATGGCTTGTTGGAGTCATCATTAGAAATGGGCAGCCTGGGCACCTTTTTTGCTGGAGCACCATGAAGAATGGGGTTGTTGCTATCACTTGTCTTGGTGGGCTGTATTGCTGGAAAACACTTTAGATTATTTTTACTGCAGCCACTGAAACGAGCTCAGAAAGACTTGGAGACGGAGCTCTGCAGTCTTCACTTTTGAGATGACTGCGTCACTGCCCATCCTGGAGCACCAACAGCCTTTAATGTAGAGGGGCACCCTTTCAAGGCATAGACAATGTTCGGAACTTTCTTTGGAGAGAGTACCTGCAGTTCTTAACTTTGGGGAAAGGTGACTTCACATGGTCTTCTTTAACCACCCTCCATATGTATGACTGCTATTTCTATTTCATTGTGTCTGAAGAAGTGTGCATGCACACGAACGCTCACCTTGAATAAAGCTTTGTTAGTCTTGAAGGTACCACTGAATTCAAACTTTGTTCTGCTGCTGGCTACTACCGGATTCCATCTTCATCGGGGCAGCTTTTTGTTGGGTGTGTGCCTGCTTAGTCGGAGTTGGAGTAAATAAAATAAGTGCTTCTGTGCCATATTTTCATTGTGCACAAAAATAGCCTAAGAAGAAGGTGCAGGATTGCAGCCCTGGCTCACATATTCTAGAGCAGGAGGTGGTAGAATGAAGCCCACACTTTCAGTTTTCAGGAAGAGGGTGGATTCCAAATTCTCACTGAAAACTCCATGTCAATAGAAAGCTAACAGTGTAAGAAGAAAGACGCCACACCATAACTCTGGTTGCTTGGCTGGGCTTGTACTTGCAGGGAGTTTGGGGCTCAGGGGAGTCATTGAGAGTTGTACTCATCTTTGATACCCTACCCTCTGTCTGAAGTGGAGCAGTTCATTCTGCTGCCTATTTCGTGCATGAAAATAACTACCACACCAATTATTACTACTAAACCATTTATATGAAAATCATCAACATTGAACAATACCAACAAGATAAATAGAAACGCTGCTGCCACTTTAAGAATTGGGGCGGACAGCTCTTTAAATTTGGAGTTCTTTTGCCTTTTGGATCATTGAAACCTTTTTAACTGATTGAACGGCTAAGGAAGCCTATGCATATGAAAGATTTTGGATCATGGTAAGAAATTTAACGTTAGGTATGTGTAAAGAAGGGTGTTTCATTCATTTTTAATTATATTGCTTGTGTGATTTTGGTTAAAAGTTATAGGTTCTTCTGTTGATGAAGCATCAGTGATATGCAGGAACTTCACAGCTAGTCAACGCGTGAAGCATTGATGGAACCTGTTTTCTGCAAAGATGAACATTGATGACCTCATTCGATAAGAAGATTATGATGTTATTTTGTCCTGTGGAATAAATGTTTATGGGACTTTCATCATACAAGCATCTTACATTTTATTCATAGGCATATCTTTTTTGAATGCTTGGGTCTTTGTTATACAGCAATTTCTACTATATATTGGTTTGGTAGACAGAGCTGCTTTTCTGTTTCTGCTTCACTACCCAAAGGTGTCTCAGAGCGGCTTACAAACTCCTTTCCCTTCCCCTTCCCACAACAGACACCCTGTGAAGTAGGTGGGGCTGAGAGAACTCTTGACAGAAACTGCTCTTTTTCAAGAACAGCTCTTATCAGAACTATGGCTTGCCCAAGGTCATCCAGCCAGGTGCAAGTGGAGGAGTGGGGAAGCAAACCAAATTCTCCCAGATTAGAGTCCGCGCACTTAACCACTACACCAAACTGGCTCTCAATATAGGAGTGCACTAGCTAGTGGTTAAAGGAATCATCTACCCTTTATTGACCCAAACTAGAATGAAATTAGAATAGCGGTAGTCAATTTTAAACATCATTGTTACAACAGAGTTGACATTTAAAAAACATTATTACAGCTTGAAGCATGGTTTATTTTTAGATTTGGAACACTAGAACCCTCGAGTTTAAATTCTCAAAATGATTTGGCTTGTTTTCTCTAGAGAATTTGGTAGTTTGACAAATTGGAATTAAATTAATGAAATTACCTGCTTTTGAGACTGCAGAATATTTATTTCACTAGCTGAATCTATCTTGTTTGAGAACTTTTCCCTCTAATGGAAATGGTATAGTGGAGACACGCTTCAGATTTTTGAGGGGAGGGTCCAAGAAATGATTGATTTTCCATTGGGTAAGAATAATTTTTGTGAGCGTTATTGTAATGTTGTATATATTGAATTTTGTAATAGTGATATTAGAGCAGTTAATTGTATGTTTATGTTATCATGTTATTGTATTTATGAAGGAATCACTGAAGATTGCTGTATCTGAATATACTTTGTGGATCTATGAAATGTTGGATCCAGCATGTTTCTTGAAGAAATTATTGAAACAGATTTATAACTGGGGATCCATTGAGTCGGTTGGCAGAGACACTATCACATCCTACAGTTCAAGGACTTTTATATTACAAATATGTTTATGAAAAAACTTTACCTGTGAATTTCTACCTGTCTATTTAATTGTGTTATAGGAAAATTTGTTCTGAGTAGTGTATATGTTATATCTATAACATCTATAAATATTGGCTTTTTGGGGGTTGAATCTGGGCACATGCATTTTTTTCTTGTTTAAATGTATCTAATTTGGCAGGGGAAGCAGCCTAACTGGCTTTCACAAATTCTCTAAGGTGTGTGTTATGACCATGCAAATATACAAAAATGATAACTTCTTGTCTTTGAAAGTATGTATTTTGGATGGTTGGGAAATGTATTGTTTATAGGAGTTATTGACATTATTTTGACAGATTTGTAGACATTACAGAAGCACCTTGTTCAGTTGTTTTGCTTGCTACCATACTATGAATCCTTTGCTAATTTTTACATAAAGCAAACATTCCTCTTTTATAAAATATTGGAGGGATTGTGGATGCTCTCCAAATAGACAGATTAGGGCAAGATGGGGTACTGTTAGAATTTTACTATATTCACAGAGTTCTCTGGGAAGTCTTTTATTTGCTTCTGCATGAGTCCCTTCCGTTCTGCTAGCCTTACTCTGAATAGCCTAAGGACAAATCCGAAAGTATTCAGGAGGTCTCTCTTATAGTTAGTTACACAAATTCAATCTCACCACCAGGCTTAATTTATATTAAACCAGGATACATTTATTGAAAAATTTGTAACACAGAAAAAAAAAATTAAAAGACAAAATTGTAGAATATTGATTTCTTTGGAAACAAATGGGAGATCATATGGTGAATATGTAGTGGAAATTCTTTACTCATAGCAATAATGTGTTTCTGAAAAGCTGAGTACTTATGAAGCTGCCTGATTTCCAAACATTCTGTCAACATGAATCTTTCACATTTTTAACTATGTCTGTACATTCACATATTGAATATATGAAACTTTCTTTTACTAAGTCAGACCATTAGCCCATCTAGTTTCATACTGTCTACTATGACTGGCAGCAGCAGAGGCAGTGAAAGGTCTTTCTCAGCATCTGGTATCTGTGATCCTTTAACTGATTGGCTCTGGGATCAGCATGCCAAGCATATGCTCTACCACTAATCCATAGATCCTTCCTTCTTCTTGGTACACATGGCTTCAGAAACAGCTTTTTTGATATCTGTCATATCCGTGCATGAAGGCGATCTCAAAGCATCAGTACAATGTAATGGCATATAATGTAACCTGGGGCTACAATTTGATATATTCTGTTTTAAGTACTTTTTAAAGCCCAGTAAACTTTAGGATTAGAGATTTTTCACTTTTCTTCTAGGGAAAAACATTTCCCAAAGACTGAGGAAGCAGGTCTTAATTCTTTTCCATAGGCCTAAAAAATCTCAAGCATTATCCTGAAGTACTCTGCAGCTTTCAGTGTATCAAAGGGCTAAGAAAACGGTGGTGAGGCATGGAGGCTTACATGTCATAAAGCTTTAGCTGTTCTTTGATATCCGTTTCAGACATCTCCCCAAATGTTTCTGCATTTTCCTTCATGAGTCTGAAGATGGCAGCCAACTGCTGTCTCTGAATCCTGCCAAGAAGAGAAGAACAAAAAGGAACAATGGAAATACCAAGAGTCTTTCTGAATAGGATTAATGGAGTTAAATAAGACAAATCATGAAAGCTACAGTAATGTCTGGTGTCATTATAGAGTGTGTGTGTGTGTGCACGTGCATGTAGTAAAACAAATTTGAGAGCCGTACAAATTACACAGAGGAAACATGGTCCAATATACTTTCAGAAGGGCCAGGATATATTGAGCTCTTTGCATATTAAAAAAAAAACTTTTTTAGTGCTAATAAGGCCAAACCAATTTTGGTTTGAGATGATTAATATGCTTAATAAACTAAATGTGTGTTGACTTTGCATATCTTAAAGCATCTGCATCATGTTACATGTTAATTTGCTGAACAGCATCTGTCTGGAAGTTTCAATTCTACCTTTCATTCCAATGTACCTGAAGAAGTGTGCCTGCACACAAAAGCTCATACCTTGAGTAAACCTTTGTTGGTCTTAAAGGTGCCACTGGACTCTACATTTGTTCTACTGCTTCAGACCAACATGGCTGACCACCTGGAACGAAGACAGGGGTGTCAAACATACAGCCCAGGGGCCGCAACCAGCCCATCCAGGGTTCTTACCTGGCCTGTGAGCAACTGGTGCAAGGGAGGGAAGGCAGGAGGCTGCTTGGGGGGGGGGAGCAGGTGAGCAGGCGCACCCAGTGAGGGGTGTGTGTGTGTGTGTGTGTGTGTGTGTGTGTGGTCGAGCTGTCAAGAAATAGAATGGAAATTGCTAGGTGGCATGACTATGAGGCTGAGGAAAAATAATGTGGGGGGAATGGCAGCAAAGGTGCAGAAAGAGGAGGCATGGTGTTTTTTCCCCTCCCACCTCCTCTGACCGCAGCTCAGCAAGGATTGGAGGCATGGAGCCAAGCGTCTGGCACTGCTACACCAAATGGTGACTGTGAGGGGGATTGGCAAAAGGAGAAGAGGAGGAGGAGATTGGATTTATACCCCACCCTTCACTACTTGAAGGAGTCTCAGAGCGGTTTACAATTTCCTTTCCCTTCCCCTCCCCACAACAGACACCCTGTGAGGTAGGTGGGGCGGAGAGAGCTCTCCTGAGAACTGCCCTTGAGAGAACAGCTCTGGAAGAACTTATGACTGACCCAAGGTCACACCAGCAGCTGCATGTGGAGGAGTAGGGAATCAAACCCAGTTCTCCCAGATTAGAATCTGTGCTCATAACCACTACACCAAACTGGCTCTCCGAGAGCAGGTGTGCAGAGCAGCAGTTTGCTAATGAAGGAGCGGGGCTGACAGGAGAGAGTGGAAGAGGAGGGCTGGCAAATGGGCTGCCTTATGCATGCCACTCTGAAGGGAAAGAAGTCTTGGCCTTGGAAGCATATGGAGGAGTGAAGAGAAAAGGGGGTGCCACTGTCGCCACCACACGTATGAAGAGCTGCAGAACCAGGAAGCAGAGTGTCAGTGTGGGTGGGGGATGGAAACCTCCTTTCCACCAAACACCTGTTCTCAGCCCATGAAGGAAACGGAGTTGCAGGAGGACAAAAAGCACCCCTTGGAGGTTTTGGAAACAGCTTCTCTGTCAGGCCTTCCCCTCAGCCCACCACTTCTGTGGGAATTGCAGGAGAGATGAGAAGTGGTGGTTGGGATCTCGGAGACCCAGGTTCAGACCCACCCTACCAAGCCAGGAACCTGTCATCTTGGTCACCCGGGGCGGGCTGCTCAGATTCCCCAGTAAATCAAATGCTTTCACTCCTGGGAATCAATTGCTTTTGTTTGTATTTTGAGAAAAAATAATGCTAATTGGGTTTGCCTGTGTCCTTTATAAAGTTTATATCTTTGGTACGTGGCATTACATTTTATGGCACACATGGCCCAGCCTGACAAAGTAATATTTATGTCAAAGTAACATTTACATTTGTTTGACGCCTCTGGGCTGTAAGAAGCTAAAAACTTTGTATTGGACCCAAAGGTTCAGTTCTGATAATGTGCTGGTGGAAGGTTCCTTATGCCAGAGAAAGGCTCCACTGTTACTTGAATGGATCCCTGGGATGCTTGATTTCTTATCCTGAGTGTGCTCATTTATTATCAAGAGATGGCCTTGTTGTAGTTCTTCACATATATCCCCTTTGGCCTCTTTTGTTATTCACAAGACCCACCTTGTCAGTAAGGCTGCCAGATCCCCCAGGGAGGCAGAGGTTCACCCGCTCTAGTAGACCCCAAACCATTGGCCCAGATCTGGCCAGTGGGGGTGGGAAGTGCTGGAGCGGGCTGACATGCTCGGTGCGATGACATCACCCGGAGGTGAAGTCATTGCGCCAGGCATGTCGCCGGGGGGATGCTCTAGCATTCAGCCTGAAAACTCTATGGTACCATAGAGTTTTAAGGCTGAATGCTAGAGCATCCCGGCGATGTGCCTAGTGCGATGATGTCACCTGGAAGAGGATTGGGAGCTTCTTGCCCCCACTAAAAAAAGGCAACGACCTGGCAACCCTACTTATCAAATACACAGTGTAATATGAGATCCTTTTCACACAGTTTTCATAATTTTCCTCTGGGGGCACATGGTGGAAATGGCAGACACTGAGGTCTGAAACAAGGAAAGCATGGGAGAAATTTCCATGTGGATACATCACTGCCACTGTGGACACAAGCTGCATGGAAAATTATCTGTCTTCCTCCCTTTCTAGTTTAGTGCCGGATCCTGGGGAAGGGACCCAGGCTTGCTGAACTGCTATATTACATGCTAAGTTGACATGAATGGACAGTCTCCACAAGCAGAAAAAAGTCCCAATATAGCATGCACAGGGCACAAGAGAGCAGAACTTCAGTGTTGAGTATGATGTGGAGGAACATATTACATGTCAAGCAAAGGCATCACCTCGGTAAGGACCTTGGTCTTTTCTAATCTTTTCCCATCCCTTCAATAGGGGTCATGCACTACACTGTGCCCCATGCCATTTTCATATATGTGAAATGGATTTTCTCCTAACAACCTGAACTTGAAACAAATCTTAATTCTACAGAAATAAATGTATTACTCTTGACAACAGATTGTAGGATATTTATCTCCCTGCAGAGATTGCTGTTGTACACATCCGAGGACATCAGAAATTGGACACTCCTGAAGCAACAGGAAATCACTTGGCTGATGAGACTGCAAAGAAGAGTGCCTTAATGCCATCTGAGACTCTATCGATGTCTCTGCTTCCATCTTTTGATTTGCCTGATAAGCCTGTTAACCTTCCTGAGAAATGAGAGAGAGCACAAAAGGAGAGGCCTGCTGAAAATAAAGATGGATGGCTTATTAATACTGATGGCAGAATTTGAGTGCCATGTGCTCTCCTTTCAAAGATTCTTCGAGATTTTCATCAGTCCACCCACCAGGGGGGAACTACAATGGGGAGAGCTTTAAGCAGATTAATAATTGTTCCTGGTCTTTTTCAGGAAGCCAAAAGAGAGGCTCAAGCATGTCCCACCTGCCAGAAGGTTAGTGCAAAGAAAGGAGTTTCAGTGCCTCCAGGAGCCAGACCCTGGGCTCATCGACCTTTTGAGTTTTTTCAAGTGATTATACTGAACTTCCTAGAGTGGGGAGATACAAATATTTGCTTGTTTTTGTTGATCAGTTAACAGGATGGCCTGAAGCATTTCCCTGTACTGCCCCAACCGCTCGCAATGTGGCTAAACGTTTACTGAATGACATCATACCTAGATTTGGTTTGCCAAAAGAGTTAAATTCAGACCGTTGGAGTTCTTTTACTTCACAAATCATCCAGCAGGTGACACAAGCACTGGGGATTGAGTGGAAAGTACATACTGCCTGGAGACCGCAGTCTAGTGGCCAAGTAGAACGCTTGAACAGAACTTTAAAAACAATTTTGACTAAACTTTGCATGGAGACTTCCTCAGAATGGTTAGACATGCTCCCTGTAGCACTTACATGAATCAGGGTAGTAGCCCAGGGTAAATTGGGATTATCCCTTTTTGAGTTAGTATATGGACAGCCATATCCTTTGATATGAGGAGGTGAATGTTGAGATTGGGGACAAAATCCTTGCTGAACATGTGTCTACCCTGCAGTCTTGTCTTTCCACTCTTCAAAGGGCTACTGCAGGAATTCGGCCGCTTCCATATGATTGTCCAGTTCATTCTTTTCAGCCTGGAGATTTGGTCCTGATGAAGACCTGGAAGCATGAGCCTCTGAAACCATGGTGGAAGGGTCCAGTCCAGGTGCTCCTGATTTCTGATAGTGCCGTGAAGACTACAGCCGCTGACAGTTGGGTTCATCATACCAGAGTGAAACAAGTTTGTGATCCAGACGAGGTGCCAGGTGGTTCTGAGGGCGGAGGGAGTGACAAGGAAGCAGCATCAAAAGGTGACAGGACAGCCAAATACATTTTGTTACTCCATGGTTATGGTGATTGAGAAAGCTATAAGGGAACTTGGAAAATAGAGTTGAAAGAATCCTTTAATCCCTTTTCTGTTTGTGAAACAGCCCCTTGGGATATTTTTGATTTTTACCTCACCAATTGTGAAACAGAAACTTTTCTAGATATCAGTACCACACATGGACAGGAATGGTGGGGTGACCGGAGATATGAGTGTTTTTACTGTTGGTATAGCCAGTATATAACTCCCAGAGGAATTCTGAGACCTGATAGGTCACTGACTGATTTTAGGAGCCATCCTGACTTATCCACCTGGTATAATGCTGTTACAAATTGGGGAGATGGAATGGAATTATCTTAGATTCCTCCTTTTTTCCCTTTTTAACGTTTTTGTTTTCCAAATACACTCACATCCATTTGAATGGGATTATTCACACGTTTGGTTAAATTTGGCATACTGACTGAAGTTTCCTGTCTTTTGTCTTCATAATAGCCTGGATGCCAAAGATGTTTTTACTTCATGTTTATGGGGGATTCCTAAGAGTTTTAAGTATTTACAAGAGAACCCTATTCATAGTTTTATTTATACATGGGGGGATTTTACACCTATCCTGGATGAG